TGATGTGTGTTTATGCTGACCTACACACTGCCATTGTTCAATCGTGCGATGGAGGACTCGGGATGTTGTCCATATTTGCATACGCTTCTTCAGATATAATTCCGGGTGTTCTGGATGTTGGAGGTTCCCCCCAGTGCACATGTCGAACTTTGCTTGAAGTGCATAGTGTACTATGAACGAAAGCTCCCCTTGAAAGATCATATCCGAGTTGACTGGTTGTTCGAGGTGGAAATGACACTCGGGCCGTCTTCTGATCTGAAGTCGGCATAGTGCATCACACACACGGAGGTGGCACCTTTCATGAGACCTGGCTTGAGAGATCTTTTCCGCGAGGACCAGGGACTTTCCGGCGTTGAGATGACTCCAACCTGACCACGGACCACAGTTGGGCGATGTCCATATGTTTCGGGGTCTTGTGATCCAGATCAAATCATACAGTTTGCACCTTCCACCGAACGTCCCAAGATCTCCGTGTTGACGGCAGAAGCGAACAGCTCTCATTCCGAGATCCTGAGCCTGTGAGGTCAACTGGCTTTCGGCATCACAGTATATCTCTAGCAAGTCGATGCCTATCCGATTGAGGTGTCGATCTATTGCTTCGGAAGTTCCATAGTGTTTCCCAAAGTACTGCATCATTTCACTGTATACTGGGTTTTTGGCTCCACAGTCGAGTTCTTGAAAGTACACAGGGTCGAGAACGTTTTGAGGTTTTGATTTCAACACATCCAGACCAATCCATGATCATGGATTTGACCTCACACGGTGCTGTCGGCAGTGTCTCGGATCCGGTCACTCTTCTCACTTGGTCTTGGTCTCGGTGGTGCCCGCCGACGGTTCCAGCTGAGGGATGGTCGGTGACAAGGCTTGAAGTATCTGTTGCAGAGTGTTCTCCATCTGACTGATGCGCTGATTTTGCTGTTCGATGGCCAGATCGCGAAGGTGGTTCTCGTGCTCTTCCTCCACCAGGTCCCACATCCCTTCGTTCATCCAGACTGCATTCTCTTCCGAGGTGGCTGGACGGCTTGCGCTGCCAGCTTTGGCCTTCGGATACCCCTTGGTTGGGCTCGGAGTTTGAGTCACGGTGACTCCCCGGTTGATCTCCTCGGTTTCGATGCACCTGCGGAGATAGCTCACAAACATCTTGTGTGAGTGCTTGGTGCTGTCCTGGTAGCGGCTGAGGAACCAACTCACGTACTTCGGATCGGTTTGCAGGACTTCTTGGAAGGTTTGTCCTCTCTTGGCGTCCCCGAAGTTGATCTTCACCATGGACAGCTCCTCGATTGACATAGCTTCCGGATCCTGTTGATCGACCAGAGCTGCTGTCTGCAGGGCCTTGAAACGGTCGGACAGTGTCGTTCCGGTGCTGCTCGACATGGCGATCGGAAACACCTGGATGCACTACGGGGCTTGGGCACGAATCACGCTGGTCGTTGACCTTCGAAGCACTTCCCGAGTTGATCGACGGCTTCACGAACGAGCTTGCCACGGTGGTTGTGTCCTCGAACGAATGGTTTTCCAGTGCTTCACCTACCGTGAGAATACTCTCTTTGGATCTCTTCTGTGTACCTCGAACCTGATGGCCATGATTTTTCTGAGCCTGACGAACGAGTTCGGCGAAGTCGAGGAGATACAGCTTCTTTTCAGTCAGCTGCAGTGGGAGTCTCAAGTTCAGGCGTCCAAAGAAAATTTCATCGGTGGCAGTGTGGATCGAGGCTTCTAACTTACGAAACAAGTTGTTGGACAGCAGAAATGGTGTCTTGGATGGGACGATGCACACTTTGACATAATATGGTCCTAACGGTACTAACAGTGCTCGATCGCACGTCACTGTGCTGCTGTTGCCAAATCGAAAAACAGTACTGCACGGCACTTCTTGGATCTTCGTGGACTCTGGCAACTGCTGAATGACTTCGGTCACCTGGTGTTCTCCTATGACAGTCTGGCTGGCTCCTAAGTCCACAATTCCTAGTGAGCCGTGACTTACGAAGTTGGTGGCGGCTTCAACAGGCGGTTCTTCGCCTTTGCTTTCAGTCAGGGGGCTACGGATCAGGCCTAGTTTGGCCTTCAGTGCAGGCAACAGCCTGGGCACGCAGGACTGAGCAGAATTGGTTGGACCTGGTTTCTCATGGATGACCCGGGTTCCTAGAAATCCCCATTTCGAACCCTCATGCATGTGATGAACCATGAACACATCATGCCATGACTTCCAAGGAGCTTCAATTGGAATCATATCATCGTCTTGACTTGGGTCTGTATCCAGCTCGTGGAGTGCCAAGCCTGTGAACGTTCCGCCTTCTCTGGGTGCAGTGTTACCAGAGGCTGCATTGCGAAGTGAGCATTCGGCCTTCCAATGACCACGAGCTCCGCAGCGTCTGCAATTGCTTTCCAGAATACGCTGTGCGAGTGGCTTCCGAGGTCGAAAATCGGAGCGACCACCCTTTCCTTTTCGATCTTTTCCAAATCCCTTTTTGGAGGGTCCCCAAAACCCCCTCCCTTTTGCTCGATCAGCCAAACGCTTGTGTAGGCGTTGAAACATGCTGCCATGTCAGGGTCCCCTTGCAAGGTGTCCATGACCCCTTCCTCAAACTGCATGCACACCACCGCATCAGGGTCACCTTCTTCCGCCCATTGTTCAATGAGGTACTCATCAACATAGTGCTCTCCCAAAACAAACCCTTGCTCTTCTTCCCCAACTGATGGGGGAGATGAGGTCACCTGGGGTTCATCTTCGGTGAACAGCGCAGTTGTATCATATGTCTTGGTTCGTGTGGTGTTCGGCTTCCCGGTGTGGACCTCGTGGAAAAACCTGCTACCCAAGAGCTTGAGGTTGGTGACCACGGAACGGTAATCCAATGAACCTTGGGATTCAACGATCAGGCGCTTTTTGTCATCCGAGCTCATGGAGGAATTCCTCAGCAGGGTGTAGGCACGAAACTCCTCAATGCCAACTTTCATTCCCATCAATTCCTCAAACTGGTGATCGTGTCGTGCCAAGTACGATTCATGCGTCTCATCGGATCGTTGAACTGTTCCGTAAATGGCCTTTTCAAACCTCTCGAATTTGTCCTCCAGGCGGGACTTCCCCCAAATCCCACCCAACGCTTCCACGATGGTCTTCACACCATCCAAACTATTCACACGCAGCTCCTTGGGATCAAGTCGGGAAACTCGTTGAAATGCTGAGCCTTCACACTGTAGCGCAATGCGGGGTGCCAACAACTGAAGGTGTTCTTGCGGCCACAATTGCGCCAGGAATTCAATTTTCTTTGTCCACTCAGTCAAATCAGTTTCCCCTGGTTTGAACCCAGGGATCTGTCCCCATGGAAGGTGGCTGAGGCTGCCAGTGTTGCTATTTCCAGCATCTTTCGGCGGCATCAAGACAGCTTCCTGGAACCCTCACAGCTTACGAGGTCGAACGATGCCCTCACCTATCGATCTCGGCCGTGATGGGCTCCGCTACCAATGTGTATTACACACACTGGCGCGGGCCCCGACCACTTCCCCACCAACAAAGCCACAAGCGCTGCCACGCGCTGTTTCTTCCTCCTGAGCTTCCTGAGGTCGTCCTCGACCGTGCTTTTCGGTGACTGTCCACAGCCCTATGGCGCGACCACACGCCAACCACCAAGCCCCCTGACTTGAGCCAACGGAGCATTGGCCATGCATCCCCTATACTCGGCTGAGTCCCCTGTGGCATGTGACGAACGGTCGATGGCTGGTGGCACAAATCAACAGTATATATATATATACAGTTCATATATATATATATGTACATAATCACACTATGCTTATGTATGTAAGCATCTATTTTTGCATAGGCACATATGTGTTTTAGCGCTGGCCACAGACAGAAGAACTGAGCCACCTGTGTATATAGGCTGGAAGGGGTCATCAAGACGTCTCTATACTACTCTGCACAGGTAGGTATGGTGATTGCAAGCGTGAACGTAGCAATCCCACAGTCTGATTTCCAAATATGCGTCGGACAGCGAGCTGCGGCGTGCTAACGGATTCTCGTTTATCCCGATGTGTGGCTGGAAGTTTCGGAGCTGAGGAAGTGCACGTCGCCACACATGGTCCCAAGGCCTTGCTTTCAAACATCAGACAACAACATTTTCCTTGAATTTCAGAATACACTTTGTGGGCTGACGAGGTTCCGCCGCCATAAAAGGCCAGTTCCTGACGCCTTTCCACAACATTTGCGTGACGCAGGCCTTGTAGCATTTCTGCTTATGTTTTATGTGGAACCCTTCAGTAGGAACAGGCAAGTTCAACATTTGTTCTGTATGTGTATTGAGGGTGATATGTGCTTGGTGTGTTGTGGGTGCTCTTGCTCACAGTTGATTTCATGTATGGCTATCATGGAAGTACACCTGAGTGCAGCACTTGTATAGTATCATCAATGAAATCAACCGGATCACAGATCACAGCTTGCTCAAAGCAGACCACAATCTTTTTTTGATAGCCTGAGGTTTCGAAAAATAAGGGGGGTTTGAACCAATTTTGCCGTTACTTGATGTCTTCAGGCGACAAAGGTCCTGAATCAGTTGGGCACCAATTTTAGCGACAGTGCCCTGTGTTGTGTATCACGTTCTTTCTTTGTGGCTGAGGAAACCTGGAACAGACCTGGACAGCACGCTTTTCACCATTTTTGCCGTGGGCAAATCCTCCTCCAAGCTTTGGCGCAAAGCTGGAGCAAAAAGCAGACTTGCACCAATTTCACGTGACATGTGGCAAGAATCATTGTTAATTTTTGTGGATCATTGACCTATGCGGAGTGTCAGAGGCAGACAAGTTGTCTGAAGGATGCTAAGGATGATTGATTAGATTAGGATTATGTATAGACTATAGACTATTCAAATCAAACTTCTCTATGATATACTCCCATTGAGGCAGGACAGGGCTTTTGATATGCTATTTAGCTACCACCTCGTGATATGTGAAATGCTGGATGAGACAACAATAGTTTGGCCTCAAACTAGCAGAAGTAGTGCAATATCAGTTTTTTCCGTTGCAATTCCATGCTACGGCGCCCTGATGACACGAGTGGAGACCTCATCTCCAACATCTGAGTGTATTGTGGGGCCAGCTTGTTTGATAGAAGTTAAACTATGCCAAAGTCTATGCCACTATGCGAAATTGCCAGGGAGATTGTGGAGATGGAGATTGGCTTTACAACGCCTTCCAGTGCCGCCAACAGATTGATTTCCACCATTCTTAGGTGTACAGGTGTTGCACAAGTTGGTTCTTGAACGCGTCTCATGAATTCTACAGGTATGAGTTCAAACTTTGGAACTACATCATTAGACCGTCTCTGACCCGGAGTAGAGCAGTCAACGAAGTTGCAACTGATGAAGGCGAGTCCGCCGCTTTCTTCCTCAGGCCACGCGTGATTTATGATGAAACAGATCTTGGTCCCACTGAGCTCCTGGGACTGTCTCAACGAGCAAAGCTTGTGTGAAGATTTGCTAGAACAATTTTCGGAAGAGCTTTCTGTGTTCCATGATGTGTTCAGGTTTGTTGCAGGTGGAGTCAGAGCAACCCGGCGAGACTTCAAGCTGAGGACAGCAATCGCTTAGGCTTAGGATGTGAGGTACAGCTCACGCTTTGGCTCACAGCGATGGATCTGAGGACTCACCGAGGTGTCCTTCTCTCCTGTTCGTTCTTTGCCCCATCTCAGGTCAGCGACAGTAACTGAGAACCACACACTGTCATGGCTTTGTGAAAGCCAATGCTCACCCTGCTCACCTAGCAGGATGGGAAGGCTGAAATTCAAAGGTTTCCGGAGCAGTCCTCAGCTTTTCAAACCTGGCAGCTGTGGCAGCTGTCGAAGCTGTGGTGTCAAGGTGGTGATTTACTTGCATGGAAATTCATCAAGCCGCTTGGAAGCTTGCAATCTTGTGAAGCCCTCAGTTCTCGTTTGCCTGTGTCGACTGGACGGAGTTTTGACCTGGCGTGGCAATAAGGTTGGTGCCCTGATATCACAGTCTGGGGCCTCAGCTGTAGCCATTGCTCGTTGATCTTCAAGCTGACAGCTGAGGCGAATCGCTTTGTTTTGCTTTGATGCGGCCGGCTGTGGCCAATCTGAAGGCCACGATAGACATTGTGCAACAAGCAAGCATTCTTTGCGCAGGTTGACAAGTCTGTTGTAAAGGACCTCTTGGAATCACACGAAGCGCAAACTTGGACGTCCGTATCCGCAGGTTCTTTATGACTGAAGGACAACATCCATTTGAAGCTAATTGTTTGTGTTCCAGCAAAAATCCAGCAAACAATGCTGAAGCCAGATCTGCATAGTGTGTAATTACGACATGGGGACAGCCATTCAACAAGCTTGAATGCCGGCATTGACCATTTTGTGAAGGGACTTGTCTATCGCTGACAGCATGGTTTAGCAGCGTACGGGCATTTCATGGCAGTGGAGAGGCCCGTTGTACAAAACCATTCCCAGCCCTGCAAGTGTATGTAGTGTCTGGGATTGAAGGTTTGGTGGCTTTCCCCTCGAATTTCGAGTTTGTAGTCCATGCGGCGTTCCAGTCTACGTCCCGCTCCCGCGATGAAAGATCAGTTCGCCACAGCTGGAGCGGAACAGCGCGGAAATCATTTCAGGTTCACTTCTTTCTCATCGCATTCTTTGTATGGCAGCTGTCAAATGAAGAGGCTTCTTCTTCACAAGAACATTCACATGATTCATCAATCATTATCATTTTCAGCTGTCTGTCAAATGAAGGGGGCCGCAAGAAGACAAAGTGGACTTCCTGACTACCACCAAGCAGGATTTATCGCTTTAACGTGTCGCTGGCAAGTTGGTAGGTCGATTGCTTGACATTAAGCAATAGTGCAGTGTCACATTGTGCACGATATTTTTTGTTCTGGTGATTCTTCCAATGGGTCCAAGATTCAAGAAAGGTGTCTCGTGAGCTTTGTGATTCTCTTCCTCACGGTCTACTTCGCATGATTGCAGAATGAATGAAGGATCTTCAAATAAACGCGGCTTTTTTTTTTGCGCTTTGTGGCCGCATTGCAGCCTTCGGATGCCTCTTTGACAACCCAAACTCTTGATGCCCCAGGTGTTGTTGCACGAGTTGGGGCATTGCGGAGGCTGTGGAGTTTGTGGCATTTCCTGTGACAGTGTCGCCATTTTTGATCATAGTCAGGAGCCAAGTTGGTTGGTGGACGAGTGGATCGTATCCTGTGCCACACTAAGACTTGTACTTGTACTCATTCAAAAGTTATAAGTGTCCCGAAACATCTAGGAAGCAAATGAATAGTGCGAGCGTGAGCTATCTTGCGTCCAGTTGCTAGCAAGCTTACCATTTTGGCAGCACAGCTTAAGTAGCCGCCTACTTGCTTAAGTAAGAGCAGTAAAGTAAGTTAGAGCGGGCTAAACAAAAAGCAAATGAGTATATAAACATTTGCTGGTTGTTTGCTGAGACTTTGGCCACTTGGTGGGTTAGCTTTCTGCAGCAGTGGTTGTGGGCCAAAAGGGGACCTGCTGGTTGCTCTTGCAGGACGCAGCAATATTCCTGGTTTGCTTCTTTACTTGGTCTCACCTTTTTTCACTTGCTTGGAGTTTTGTCAGGACCTCTGACTCACGCTCCACAATACTTGGTTTGGTACGGCTTCTTCCAATTCTCTGCACACGTCTCAGAATTGCAAGCTGTGTCTAAGTCCAGGCGCAGCAGTCAGGTCAGGAGCCACGAACAGCTAGGACGCTGGTCGGCCACAGTACAAGGCATAAGTTTGAACGTAGAGCAGCTCTGAGTGAGAACAGGAAGATCCATTTGCAAGTTTTGCTCGCCAGGTCTATGCTCGTCCGCCATGCATTTGCAGATTCTCCTGGTCGTCTTCAATCTGCTGGTGTGCTGATGAAGGCATTGACTTTGCTCGATTGATTGAACATGCTACTCGCAGGTACCCGTATATCCACTGGATTGCTCCCAGGTACGCCAGGGTTTCGAGAAGTCAAATAATAGCATTTCAATGGCTTCACTGAGCCAGGCTATCATCTCCCTCTGTAGACTTTGTGGCGCATCGGCACGCACTGCAGCTATTCTAATCGTTGTCCTGTCACTTCTGACCATCGCTCGGTTCTAAGCTGCAGTCGCACATCAGACGTTCTGTTTTTTGCTGTTCTCACATTGACAGCTCTTGAGTGAGGCTGTTCTTGTGGCATTGATGTTTGGACTGGTGCATATGCCTTTCTTGCCCCTGGGTGGGGACTCCCTAGACATGGATGTCGGAGGGAAGGACTTGTCACACTGAGGTCTCAGCGGCTTCAACTTCCTACTTATCGGATGGCTGACGTTCCAGACATTTCAACTCTACAGCCACATTTCCAAGAGAACAGAATCCAATCATCCACTTCTTCGCCAATGTCAGGACTGACCTTACAGGCGCTATGCTTTCGGAGCTGCTTGCAGTCCCCGTGCCAGGACGATGACCATTATCGTGATGTCTGAGTGCAGTTTCACTGGAGAGCTTCAAAGAAAAGCGTTCCTGCCAAGACCTTTTTGCATTCTCCCAAGGGTGCAAGGTCAATTGTGCCGACATTGTGACATTGCACCTCTAAAAACCCTGGACCCTGTGTTTATTCTTATGGTGAAGATGTCAGAGCGTTGGATTCTGAAGCTGGAAGGTGAGTACGTTTCGCTGGGTTGGCATGAAAGGGATGACCTTGCGGCTGGGAGCTTGTGACAGTCAGGGCTCAAATTAGAACCTCATCTTTGAGAACTGAGGTTGTCATAGACTGTTTGCGGAGACTCCCGTATTGTGGTCCAAGGCTCAGGATGTTGATTCGAAAAGCTCTGGGCAATCTCTCAGCAAAAAGCTGAAAGGCCAAATTGGTTTGTGGGGGCGTTCCATGGGGGCGGCCACCGCATTGATGCACTCGAGCAGAGACTCTGACTTAGGTGCTTTAGCGTCACATTGCATCTCTGAATATCTTCATGTTATATTTTTTCATGCCTGGCAGGTGCACTTTGCTTGGACTCATCCTTTGCGAGCCTCAGGCAATTGGTGGAGGACCCGACAGGCTGCTACTGCTTCCAAGTGTCACCTGTGATGATGGGCAGGAGTTCGCGCAAAGCAAGAATATCCCGCTGCCGGTATCATGGCCAAGAATAGTCAAGTCGGACTTGGACCCTTTAAACCTTTGAAGCAGCTTCTGAACTCCAAGGTACCGTCTTGGTTGGTGGGCGCCGCATTGGCCGTGGTTGAAGCCTGAGGTCTCGACATGTTTTCCCTAATAGCTTCTTCAAACTTTTGATTGCAGAGTGCCAAGTGGTTGTGGTGAGCCCACTATGGCGTCCCTCATAAATGCCCTGCCTCCCTCACACACTGTTTTGAATTGCTTGCCGTGGTAATGCATTGCTTCAAGGTCCGTTTGCGAGTGAAAGCTTTGGCTGATTTCGACATTGAGGATTACTGGTTGAGTGCTTACCAGTCAAATCCTTGAGTTAGCATGATGCAGGACTTGGTACCTCTACAGCATGCGAGGTGCAGGCCGAAGGGCCAAGAACGCCGCCAGCACAAGAAAAGGAAAGATGGAAGAAGAAGAAGAAGAAGAAGAAGAAGAAGGAGAAGGACAAAATACTTTACAGTAAAAGAAAGAGGAAAAAGCAAAATCTCTAACCTAGAAGCAATGGCCTCCAACCTAATGGCGAAAGAAGGGAAGACTAAAGGCAAAAGAGAGACGTTTGCACGCCAGCTTGGCTCCTGCGATTTTCCTGCACGGCAAGAAAGGCAAGTGTGGAGTGAAAGCAGCGTAGCATTAGGTCGAGTATTTGACGTGCTAAGGCATTACCCAACTGTTCAGAAAATGTGTACAACGTGTACGAAGAGCCAATCGTCAGCTAAACCTAAGAGAGAAGTGCACAGTGTGCCTGTTCTGATACCATGCCTTCACCTGTCAGACGACTTCGTCGACGTGAAACATTCGCGGCAGTTGTACGAAGTCTATGCTGGCAGCAAGGAAAGCTGGCGTGCTGGTTCAAAGCGGTTCAATGGCTATTTTGATGACATCTTATGACTTGTGTGCAGGAGTTCATCGCTGTAGATGGGGACCACAACAGCGAAAGGCCGTGCGTGGGTTTAGGAAACTTCCAAGCAAACGGTATGAAGGCTTGTTCAGCTTGTTCCTTGACTGACCATCCTGTCCCCCGTTGGCCGCACTTTGTGCCCAGGGGTGGACAGGTCGTTGGTCACGTTATCAGCTTTTTCAAAAGATGCTTAAGGCTGGTGGGAATGTTTTGCGCTTTCAGAAGCTTGCTGCAGCAGGCTTGATGAGAGATTGGTTTCTCTTCACGTCAGCATTTTTTGCTTTCTCAAGCAGCTTCGCTCGAAAAGCCATGTGACCACTGCCTGCCAGGGAATCTCCCTTTTGCCAGGATGAAAAGCCAATCTGAGAAAGGGGGTTGGTCGCTGAAATGACTTTGAAGGAGGAGCTGGGACAGCTGCTGCTCCCGCTCTCCCATGAAACGCGACAAGGACTTGAGAGGAAGTGTTTGGACATGCACCCCTTGGAGCTTTTTGCAGTTTTGTCAGATGCATCTCCAACAGTACCTGCGGTGCGCCAGTTGGCTGGAGTCCTTTTGGCCAAGAAGATTCCATCATGTTGGTCCGGAGCGTTGCACGACGGAGACAAAGTCAAGCTTCAAGCTGGTCTCATTAGTCTTATGTTGGCTTTGGACGCATACGACTGGGACGGAGGTGTTGTAAGAAGCCTGGTGGACTGCACTGCATGCGTGGCCGATTGTTTGGCTATGAAAGGCGTTGTGTGGCAGGATCTTTTCCTATGGATACGAGGAATTGCTTCTGACACCGGGGCTTCAAACATGCATGGCCGACCAAGCCTTATGGGTTCACACACGCGGAAAAGGCGAGCCTTTCTCTACCTGTTGGATCGATTGCTGGAGTCACCTGCTTGGCAAGATCTCCTTGAGCCTCATGTCATGGAGGTTTCGGAGCTCTTGTGCCGCATAGCACTGGGAGCTGGAGCCCAAGCTAAGGTGGAAGAACTTGGGAACATGCAGAACTTGCTCTCAGAACTTGCTTGCTCGAAACATGCTTTGGAATCCCTGGGATCCCTTGCTGTCGTGGTTCGAGGAGAGGATGCTGCGCGCATTTTCCACCATCAGGTTGTCCAGCTGTTGTTAAGTCATTCTATTATGGGAAGTGACTTGTGCGAATCTGCACTGGAAGCCTTGTCAAGGGCTGCTGCTGTAGACGAACTGCTCATCGCTGATCCTTCCTTTTACCATCCTGGCTTGGCCCCAGAAGAACTCTGCCCAGTCGTTCAACTGGGACTTACTGCCGCTGTGTCTCAACGTGGAGAGCGGCGCATGTTGGCGCTTCGAGTGCTATATAGTGTCGCAGAGTCTCATTCTCGCTTGCTTTGCACCTCTGGTGAAAGGGCTGGACAGCTCTCAGCGGAAGAAGTTTTGCAGACTTTGGTGGGACGCGTGGCACCTGACGAGGTACAGGCACGCTTCTTAATTGACTCAGCTCCTTTTCCTGCAGAGGCTGCTTCAGCAGCTGAGTGGGGTGCCGAATATGCTTTGCTTGGGCGGATTTCCAAGCGCTTGCCAGACAAATTGGTCCTCCCAGTAATTTACAAACTGGCTTGCCAGTCTTTGTCGGGATCAGATGTCCCCAGCAAATTGGCAGCTTTTGCTTCCCTACGAGCTGTTCTTGCTGGATGTATGTCTTCGGTGAAAAAGCAGCTGCAAAAGATTGCTCGGATCGTTTTGCGGGCTTTGACCGATTCGCAGCTACATGCAGTGACCTTTGTACTGATAGCAGATTTGTGTGGGCTAGTGCCAGCTGAAACCCGATGTGGTTCCTGTCGTTTGGCTGAGAGATTGCTTCCTCCTCTCTTGCAGCAGTTGCAATTGCTTCAGCTTCGAGATGCAGTTTTTCCATGTGCTCTCCGGGCATTGGAAGCCGCATGCCCACAAAACGGATTAGGACAAGCCCGGATGCTTCCAGCCTTTCGCGTACAAAGTAGTGTTGTTGCCATCGCCTGGACGGTCCAAAAGCTGGAAGAGCTTCTCCAAGCCGGTCGGGACAGCTCTCAGATATGGGATGCTATTGCTACCCGACTTTGTTCTCTCCTTGCTGCCCTTCTTCACAGGCAGCCAGCCAAACGCAATGGTGACAAAACCCTGAAGACACTGGGGCACAAATTGGCAACTATTCTTCATCATATGCTTATGTCAGCATCCAGTCTGGAAAGTCGATCTATGGCCTTGGAGGCATCTGGAGCCTGGATGAAGCTTTGTCAGTTGTGTGATAACGGACGGTCCGATGGTCCAAGAGCTTCCCACGAGCTCCAAGAGCTTCTTGCGATTTCATTGCGTGCAGCTGAGCGTGGGCTACAGGACATGGACGCAGTGACGGCAGACGCAGCCATTCGCTTCCTGGTCTCTCTTGGCGCCTTGGCTCCTTCACCCCAAGCGGCCTTTGCAGCTGGCTTGGAGCAATGTGCTCGGAAGCCAACTCCAGCCTTGTTGCAGGCAGGGGCCATAAGGACTTGCAAGAGCATCGAACAGCTTCGTGTTCTAATGGAGGCTCTTGCATCATTGTTGGCCTCTACTCAGTGCGAAGAGCTTAGTTGAGCTTTGCAGCGTGAGATCATGCTCCAAGGACAAATCGGACAAGCAGTCAAGCACAAAGGGTTTTGCGCCTGTTCAAGCAAGGTGTTTCTTTTTTGCACTCGCACAGGTCTGCCCATACAAGCTGCCGAATGGAGTCGACCCTCGACTCAATCTTTACAGTTGTTTTTGCAATGCTTTTGAGGAAACATGTTTTTCTTTTGGTGCAAGTTAAATGCACGAAAGCAGACCCTTGAAGGAAAATGCTGCATGCACTCCATTAGTTAGAGCTCGTCGGGTTCAATGTTCAAATATGCAGATATACCGCAGAGAGAGAGACAAAGAGAGAGAGAGAGAGAGATAGAGAGAGAGACAGAGAGACAGAGAGACCATTCGCGAGACCCAGGATTGACAACTCTTCTCTCAAGCTTCTTGGAGCAGCCAGATTTGCGCGGTGCAGCAGCAGATTTAGTGAGGTTGGACCTGCTTGATTGCTGTGGTGGAGAGATTTTGGGCTCAAGTTAAGGAAAGAATCGTATTACAGTGATGTGATGGGTGTAGTGACGGTGTCTGGATGCTCCTTGCTTTGTTTTGTTTTGTCGTTGTTGTTGTTGTTGTTGCAATCTTTGAGCTCAAGACCTTGAAGACACAAGACTTGCAAGACCAAGGAAACCAGCTTGATGCAAAGTTGTGCACATTTGTGTCCGAAGCATGTGCAAGTGATACAATGGAATGTACTGCATTAGTTTATTAGTCATCATCACCTTGAAACTCTTGTGAAAAGACATTGCAATGGACCCGCGAGTGCATCTGACTCGATGTGCTGCAAGCTGTGATGAAGAAGGTGCTCTTCAGGCATTGAAAGGTGGTGGAACTGGGAAGCGTGAGCGTGAGACTGGATATACAGCTCTGCATTACGCTTGTCAATATGGACTTTCCAGCTTGGTTGAAGGATTGCTGGATGCCAGGGCAGATGTAGATGCAACGACCAAGGATTTGATCCTGCAGGGCTCAGTTGTTCAGTCAGGTGGTCAAACACCCTTGCATTTGGCGACTCGAAACCATGAGGTAGAGGTGGTTGATTTGCTCTTGAATCGCAAGGCAGATCTAACTTCTGTGGACTACGATGGCTTTACCGCTGCTGAAGTCTCAAAATTACTTCAAATAGCTGCAATTTCAGAGTTGATGCCCTGTGAAGCGACTGTAGAAGCCTTGAAAGAGAAGCAAAGCCGTGCCAAGGAGGCGAGTAAGTTGCGAGCTGCACGGCAATTCGAAGTCCCTTGCCATTTGCGGAATGCTTATACACTGGAGAAGGTTTGGTCACATGATGAGTGCATTTTTGTTCTAAATGCACTGAAAGATGCGGTGGCTGCACGTGAATTGGGTTGGACCACTGACCGCCATACCGCTTATGCAACCACTGACGTTCCCTGTGAGGAAGTTCCAGCGGTTGATGCCTGGGTTCGGGAGTCTTTGTTTGATCGAGTGTTTCCAAAGCTTGCAGCTCGCCATGGATGGAGCACGAGTGAGGTATATTTTCGAGACCTATTCTTTGTAAAATATGCAGATGACGGCCAAGCTGGATTGGCGCTACATCGAGATGGTTCAACTGTCTCCTTCAACGTACTTTTGAATAAATCCACCGACTTTGAAGGTGGTGGAACCTACATTGAAGTAGATGACCGCGTGTATCAAATCGAGCAGGGAGATTGTTTTATTCACAGCGGAAAGTTACGCCATGGTGGACAGCCAATAACGAAAGGCGAACGCTACATTCTGGTTGCTTTTCTGGATATTGACAGGAATTGACAGTCGATAGAATCAAGCTTGGCCAATACATGCAGGCCTTGGCAAAAGGGGCGATTGACATAATGTCCCGAGTCTTTCGATGTGCTCAAAGCAATATATACCTGTTCACGAACAAGCGTAGCTCACACAAGCTCACACATACACGCAGCTCATTTTCTTCTTTTCTCATTTGAATGTCAAAGCCGGTCTGTGCACCGTATGCTTTTGCATCCAGGCAGCTGCCTTTGACCAAGCTGACTGTAGTTCTTCTGGTCCGGATCGCCACACTCTTGGATCTAGAGGACAGCCTCGAGTGTTGAATATTTTAAGGCTTTATGGCAAGGCCATAAGAAGCTATTAGGGGCTCCTGGCCTTACTACTAGGAGCAAGGACGTTACTAGGGGCTCCTGGCATTACTGGTAGCATTCCTACTACTAGTATATAACAAGAAGCTATTAGTTAGGATAGCTTTGATCGCTTTGCAGGATCGGCCAAAAGTGTTCTGCAGCCTTTGCACGGCAGCTGCTCATATGGCAGCGCAGGACTCTCGTTTGAGGCTTTCTTTGGCTTTGTCCTTGAAATGCCCTACAAAGCTCACGAAAGGCCGTAAAGCCGCAAAGCCTTTGCTCAGGAGCTTGAGCAGCCAGCTGAGGTATCCGAAGCACTACGAATCTTGAGGCGCCTCCCAAAGCTGCTTGTACACTATGCACACAAGCACAAGTGGCAAAGCCTGAAGGACTGTCGTAGAAAGACTGAAGCAAAAGCGGAGCACTGGCCTTGGTGTGTGCATTTTTAAATATTGCATCTTGCTATATAGTACCAAACATGAGCAGTTCCCAGCTGGGCTTGAGATTTTGCATGATTTTGGCAAGTCTCTGCAAAGGGGTTTTGTTGCGGCTAGCGTTTTGGTGTTTTCAAGTGTCCTCAACCAGAGGCTGTTCCTAGCACCAGAGCTTTGACTTCCTTTAGGCACGATGTACAGCCGTGGAAGTCTTGCAGAGAGCTCCGACGAGGACCTTCTAGCACAATCTGAACGTACTGAATGCACCGAGTGCACCGAGTACTTCCAGTCAGAAATCGCATATATAAGCAAAATATCCGGTGAGTTCATCAAGTGACGTTGTTGACGCTCTCTTTGTTCAATCACCGGTGGTCTTTTGCTCAAGACCCCTCTTTGGAGTGGGCAGCTGTTCCAGCGGCTTTCTGAACACACTGCCGGAGACAGATCGAAGACTCCGCGACTGCCATGACACACTAGACTAACTAATTATAGATTGCATATATTATTTGCTCTATATAACTTTTGAATGCTTGCTTCTTTTTCTGCCAGCTATTGTCGACAATCTCCAGAGTTGCCTCCCTGCCTGCGCAGTCAAATGACAGTGCCCTGTTTGTCTAAATCTTCATGAGCGAAACATCACAGTCATCATCTTATGGAAGCAGAACGCAGCTTTGGATTCAACCTGCACATGGATTGTGCTCAAGGGTCTCATGACAAAGGTACTAATAGCCTCCCCCCTAAGAGCGATGTCCTGCAATCTACTAGCGACGGCCTCCAACCCAATAGCGATGGCCTCCAACCTAGTAGCGATGGCCTCCCCGTCAAGAACTGGAAGGACGGGCCCCGCCAAGTTCTCTGAAGGTTTGTTAGCCCAACGCTGAGCTCGGACCAAAGTGCCCGAGGTTTCGATGTCATCCCACGTTATGTCGGATTTCTTGCACATGGCCATGGGTTTTGGAGGCCCTTGGCAATAGTGGGCAACAATGGGACATCAGAAGCAGGTTTGGCCGTTTTATTGCTGTAGGCAAACAGGCCAACATTGATATTGAGCTCAAAAAAATGGATCTCATGCCCTGATGTCCTAACTCTGCAACGGTTCTTTCTGCGCTCTGACCCCATGGCCGCTGACGCCCACATGAACACTGGCCTGATGTACATGGTGAAAGATCATCAAAGCCCAGCTGCAGGATATGCTGAAAAGGTCATTGACCCTTTGTATTTACTGTATATGATTGTTCCGAAGGACTGATTGCTCAGTCCCGGAGCCAGAGTGAGCCTGTGCAGAGCATTAGCGCATTTTGCGCATTCACCGCTGTGCACTCAGCGCCGTGCAGTCTTCACAGCTGCAAGATCAGGGTGTATGCCACGCTGCATTCTTTTTTCCCTCTCCCAGGTTCGAGCATAAATGTAAGTTATAATTCTTCTACCTTTTCATTCCTTTGGTGCCGAATCGACACATTTTGCCTTAAGGGTTAAAGCTTTAAAAGGAGTTGCCAGCGGCACCCGTATGTGCTCATTCTGATTTCAATCTGGCTGCTTCTAGCCTCAGCTGCATTTTATGCATATTTATGCATACTTCACACCTTTCATCAATCATTTGTCCTCTTGCAGAAGCCACTAATCAGCTGGGATGAACAACTGTAATTTGATGAGGCGGCCTCCTTTGGGCTTTCTGCCAGTAGCTACATCTACAGTCCTCTTGCCAGTTCTGGTGCTGTACGGTTAATACTTGGGCTTGTGGATTTGTTGTTGTTGCCGTCCAGTTCCAGATGATGTGCTTCCATTTCTCCTTTCCAGTAGTTTTGATTAGATCCCTTTCCGTGGCGTAGTCAATACATTGACCGTGGCAAGGAGTCAACAAATGCTTCTGACGATTCGACCTGTTTGAGACTTAACTTGGAGCGCTTGGACATGTTCCCATTCTGAACCTGCCAGCCCAGGTTCCGAGCAGAGTGCTCCGACTGTGGCATCGACTGCAGACCTAGAAGGTGCAGGTGCAAAGGGAAGAAACGCAAAATGCGATTCGTTTTCCTTAATCACTGACAGATTGTCCATTCGTGTTGGTCCGCTTGTCACACCCAACCTTGGATTGAGGTGTGGACAATGCACTACACACACTTTGCCAAGCTCTTGGGTGATGCATCCAGACTTGGGCCCGTATGAAACTCCTCCTTTTCAGTTTCCGATGCTCTACGAAAGCCTTTCAGCAAGGGCCAAATTCATGGTTTGAAAGACCGGTGATCTGGTGATTTCTTCCTGTCGAGACAGGCAAGGCTTGTCTTCAAGACTTGGAAAACTAGATTGAACAAGATGTAGAGGGGACAGAAGGAGGAGAGACCTTAGGCCAGGAAGGTATGATAAATCGAGTTGAGCAAAACTGTCTGGGCCAATACGGTGCCAACGTTTGACAGCTTTTCCTCCCGCCTTGGGCGATTGTACATAGCTGAGAGACACATCACTTCGAGCGCGATGCAAATGCTACAGCAAGCAAACATGATGCTGAATGACACTGGCAGCAGTGACAGTAAGGGAAGAATCGGGTCCTGCAGAGGCCGGCTGAGCAGCCGATGGTACCCACGCTCCTTTGGGATCCACAATTTGCAGTGCCTTCTTTGGCCAGAACCTCAGATTGCCTGAGCCAGAAGTGCAGGGAGCGCAGGATTTTCCATTAACCAATGGATCATGAGGACGGCGTTCCACTCCGTGTGCGCCAGACACAATACATACAAATACGCAATGGTCTTTCCTCTCTTGTTGTGTCCTGAATGGGTATTCTTTCTTTTTGAAGTACATCACGAAGGAAGAAGTCAAGGAAGCATGGAAGGACGAGGAAGGAAGGGAATGACGGGAAGGAACGGAACGAAAGGAACAGAACAAAAAAAGAAGGAATGGAAGGGAAGGAAAGGAAAGATTAAACATTGGTGCCGCATAGCATTCAATCTGACCATAAAACATGAAGATTAGACTGCGAAAGAGTGCACTTCAAGCACCATGTCCTTTTCTTTTCGCAATTCCTAACAGTAACAGTACCCCTAAACAAACTCACAATACCAATGAGTACATCGACACTTTTGCACATATATTCTCTTCGTTATTCCGTTGCTGGTGGCAATTTCGGAAGCTGACATGCATTTGCAGATACTGTTTCCAATGTTGGGACAGTCCGCAGGTACCTATGCAGAGACATAGCAGCACAGTAGAACCCTTAGAGATGAGTTTGGATCCAGGACATCTAAAAGATCTTTAAAGATCTTCGCTCAGGACCTTGCTAAAAAGGACAAGAAGAGAGTATCTTACGTGACGGCTGCCGCCAAAGCATGCAGGCAAAGTGATGGGACAAGGAACAACTAAGCACATTTTGTCTGAATTTTATGAATTTCACCATTCAAAATTGTCCGGCTGGCAGGCACGCAGACATGTCAAGAGGTACAGGCATCGAGCATTTGTAGCTGCAATTGCGCGCTCTCTCTCTCTCTCTTTTTTAAAAATCTGCATCTCTCTGAATTTGTCCAATTGACATTGACAAGAGCTGGGCTAAATGCAGGTGCACGCCAGCTGACCTTCAGCCTCATCCCAGAAGTGAGTCACCGAAGTGCTCAAGAAGTGAAAGGACATGATGTTTGAGGGCTTTTGAGGACTTGGGGTGCAAGTGTGGAACCACATATATAATCGAAGTATTGAATCTACATATTTCATGTTCGAGAGTAGCAACGTGCGATTCGAAAACGATGTGAGGCCAGGCCGTAAGGCAGCTCCTGCCCAGGCTGTGGTCGGTCGTCTCTGAACGTTCAGGTTCTGTTGTCTGTTGCTTGACTTGTCTAGTAACTCAGTAGCGCCAAGGAGTGGTTCAACTGATAGAAAGGGCACATGGTACAGTCTTCATACTTGGGACACTCAACATGGAACCTTGGAATGTAATGTTGCTGTCCGTTGGTCGCATCTCCAGCACCATCCAGCCTTTGCTCAGCCTGTCAACTAGGTACCAGTTTCTTTCACTTGCGCTGTAGGTCAGATGCCAACGCTCATTGACACATCCAAGCCAAATCATGGACACAGCGTCAAAAGGGGAGACTTGCAAGCTTGGCTTGTTTCATGGACAATCTTTCAGACATATCTTACAATTTGGTGGCAATGCCCCATGTCAAATCTCCAGTGCTCTGCAGATTTTACACAGCTCAAGTTTGTTTGAGAGTTGATGAAGTTTGACGACACCATGACATGTAGTTTGAACTTTGAACCATGGTTCTGGAGCCTTTCCAATGCGAAACTCACTTCAGAATTGGATAATAGCAGAGCATGCGCAGCAGAAGCAGCAGAAGCAGTGGAAGTCGCAGCTACCTGCTTGCATTGTTTGCCAAACATTGGACTGATGTCGAAGCCTACAACAGAAATAGACCTTTCTGGGCAAGGACCTTGGTACATCGAGTTTGCCTTGCCATTTACAAGTGCAGCCCTTCAGGTTTGGCCTGGAACGAATACAGCACATCGGCCGTTTGCCTAAAGCTGGGAAGTCATCATTTTTCAAGATCCAGAGACTTGGTTTGGCGAATCGTTGATCTAACTTCAGGCCGCGGTCAGTACGCCAGTGCCCAGCTTGTGAAAGAAACGGCCTGGCAGCCTGGGACTTGCTGACCTCTTGGAATCATGAAGCTAAGTTACTCCAAGGCATCTGGGCAAACTTTCGTGGCCAAGTGCATCTCTTTGGCTGCCCTGAACGAACATGACCAGGACTTGGCACACCAGGAGGCCCGGAAAGCAGCAGAGTGGTTGCCAACAGTTGATGTTCAGAAACTGGCAGGTTTTCCTATTGCAGACGCTGGCCCATCCTTACATTGTGGCATACAGAGATAGCTTCCTGATTGAGGGAGTCTGCAACTTACAGTGGCCAAGACATTGCCTAGGAGGAGACTTGGGGTCCCATGCGTGGGTTGCTTGTTGAGGCCAATACTCTTGTGATCGTGATGGAGCCAGCAGACCCAGAGACCAGGGCCTGAAAGCTGAACCAAAGATTCTGCACTGACAAGACTAGGGCAGCACCCGGGTAATGAAAACTAGTACCAGGCAGTTATATAGATGTTAAGCAAAGTGTCCTAGCGGCTAGCGCCTTTCTCAAAATTCCAGCAGTGACACATCACCCATGCAATTCGCATCCGGCACTGGCGCTAGCAAAACCAAGCAAGCTACAATGGCAGCAACAATGACTCGTCATAATGACAATAGCGAAGTCAAGCATAGGTGGCGACAGGTGTGACCAGCCACAATTTCGGAACATCAACGTCACGGGAGTGTGACAATGACAACAGCAATGATCAGTTACAATGACAAACGGCAAGGCCAAGTTGGTGACAAAGTCCACGACAACCATAATCGCAACAGCAATGACAACTCACAGTAACAACACGCACACACACGCACACATAACAAAGCACAATGGCAACACCTCACAATGATATTGCTTTTGCCATATTGCACAATGACATAAATATAACAATGATCAAGGTAAAAACACATGCAAGAGCCGTGACAAGTCACAATCACAACAAGAACCAGCGTACTGGCAACGTCAAAACAAGAGATGCTATGGGTCAATTAGATGTTTGGAAAATAGCTCCTGGCATCGCTGCTAGTAACAAGGGCATCGCTACTAGGAGCAAGAAGCTACTAGTAGCAAGAAACTATACATCAATTCCTTCGACTCTTTCCACGGAACTTTACAAACTGATTGAGGCATTGTGGGGGTGGTGACGTTCGGAAAGCGATCAAGGACACCACACTTTCACCTGGCGGCTGAAACTTTTGCAACCTTTTGAAGCTCTTTTGAGTAAGTGGGCAGGAGAAAGCAAAACAAGGTGCACATTTTTCAGAGGAGTTTGGAGCTAAGTTCTCATTCTGGGAGTGAGACTGGCAGCATGGTTCAAGTCAATCTTGGGACGCCAGTTGCTTTACTCCAAATGATACATAACCAGCTTGAATGCAAGGCAAATCATGACGTGGTTTGTGCAGCTCTGCCTGGCTTTGCAGCCAGCTACCAAGCACAACAGAAGAAAGTAATGGGAAAGCGCCAGAAGACTATAGTGGTTTGAATGTCAGCGAGGTACATACACTCAGAGAAAGTCCTGCATCGTGACCTGAAGACATCCAACATCTTTCTCACAGAAGGTGCCACACTGGATCGTGAGTGAGAAGCAAATCATTGGTTCAACACAAAGGATGTCTTGAGATTCTGGCAGATATTGCAGTAGCTTGGGTTTGGCTTTGGTAGCTTCATCACTTCATCAGAATGTGTGCATGAATGTAGTACTCGAGAGTCTTAGACACAGAGAGTCATTCGACGGTTTAAAGGCTTAAGACTTAAAAGAGTTGAGTTCAAGTGATTCGCTTCCAGATGGTTCAGCTATCAAGCTCGGAGACTTTGGTATCTCCCGGGTCCTGGAAGGGACCACTGAGGCCTATCCCAAAGCAAACATGAAGTGTCATGTGAGTCCAAAGCAAAGTGGGCATGTTTGTAGTTCATCTTCAGTGTGTTTGTTTAGTTGATGCTAATATCAAAGATGTTTAGTTTAGACAACATATAAACACGATATCACTCCAGGTCATGTCAGAAGTCGAGTTTGCTTTTGTGATGCAGGCGGCTGTGACCATTGTGGGTACGTGAGCTCCTCAGGATCAGGTGATGTACCTAGGCTTTCCAGAATGACAAATGAGGCCTTACTATATGTCACCAGAAGTTTGTCGAAGCGAGCCTTACAACTGGAAATCTGATATTTGGGTAGCTACCTCAGAGTGGCAACAGAAGAGCCGCCTCAAAGCACCTTGCCAGATTGCGTTGTGAATCAGAAGTAGATTGCGGTATGAATCAGAAGTCATTCGTGTGGAACATTCAGGCTTTGGGATGTGTGCTCTATGAGCACGGCCCTCAGCTCTATAAGCTTTAAGACGGCTTTTGGTGAGTAGAACTGAGCTTTGCTGAGATGGGCTCAGGTGCTGTATGCTCAAACACGCTTTTGAGTCATCCTCCCTGCGGCACACTTAATCGCAAGAGCTGTTGCCCAACGCGATTGCAGATCAGTTTGCTGAGGTTGGGTCTCGTCTACAAGATTGTAAGTGATCACTATGCTTCTTGGCAGAGCAACACCTTTTGAGCTTTCACTAAACATGTGTGTGCTGCCAAGGATCCAATTCCATCGTTTTATTCGTGCTTCCCTTATTTGCCGCTTTAGTTGGTTGTTCCAGTGATTTCCTTTTATGTCGGGCATTTATTGGATGGCTTTGTGCACTTGCAGGGCTGAGCTGAATAATCTCATCAACCAGCTCTTGATGAAGAATGCAGAGCTGAAATCTCAGGGGTGGAGTTAGTCCAACTGTCTTTCTAAGTTTCTAGAGGCCTTGCATTGCATGAACATTCTTTTTCATTGGTTTCCAGGCTTTTGGTCCTCTGGAGCCCATGAGGTCTCGGCCTTCTATCAACGAACTCTTTGCGAATCCTTACGTGAAGGCCCTCTTTCATTTAGACCGTTTAGACTCAGACCAACTTTTTTTTGGTTTCGCAAGACATGTCTGGAAGTTTCCTGAAGGCTTACCTGGCAAAGCAATCCGCCCCAGTGGCAGCACCGAGTCCTCCACCTCCTGAACCAAAGAAGACAACTTTGAGGCAGGAACTGAATTTGGTGCCAATAGGAACAAGAAGCTACTAGGGGCTCCTGGCCTTACTACTAGGAACAAGAAGCTACTAGGGCTCCTGGCATCGCTACTAGGAGCAAAGACGCTACTAAGAGGGCAACTGAATTTGGCGGTTGTAAATTGCACGGTAAGCTCCTAGTAGCTTCTTGTTCCTAGTAGTAAGGCCAGGAGCCCTAGTAGCGTCTTTGCTCCTAGTAGCGATGCCAGGAGCCCCTAGTAGCTTCTTGTTCCTTCTCGTCAGTAAAATCAAGCAGGAGCCCCTCAAAGTCATACAGCATATCTTTCCACCCCCACCAGCGTGGGCAGAATTTTGAGTCTTGGACAAAGACTCCTGAAAAAAGCAAACGGCTCCAGCATTCCCTGCACAGGCCTGGAGGTGGTGCGAAACCACCGCCACCGCCACCCCCTCCAAAGGAGAATCCTCCTGTGATGACCTTGGACCGGACTTGCAGCAGAATATGATGATAGAAAATCACGTTGCTTTAGTGGCCATGATCTCGCTGACAATTTGCAAGTTTCCAAACGCAGGCACCGGGGCCTGCTCCTGTTGGTTCGGAGTCTGACACTTGGCAAAGTGGCAAAGATCCATCCACGCAGCTAGAGGACTTCAGAGACGCGATGTAGCTCGCTCAATCCAACGCTTATAGTGTAAAAACGCGAACTTGAAGGTCAATGTTCAGGGTGATCATCGCGCGAATACGCCGGCGGCTTGTGGGTCAGGCAGCTTAGTCAAGTGTTTCATCCACATATAGAGCCCTGAGGGTCATTTGCTGGTGAGACAAAGACAGAGCGCTTTCTTGAGGTCAAAAGCTGAACTGGATATCATCAGTGGCTTCCTTTGATGACGAGAGCTTCTGACATGTGTTATCACCAAGTGCTTCCAACAGTCACCTTCAACTCTCTTTTTCAAAAGGGAAGCATGAAGCAGGTGGTGGATAATACCTAGTGTTGTGGGCCTAGTAGGGTAGAAGTATAAGTTGAAACCAACAAGAAGATGACTAATTTAAGTTGACTAAATACAAAGTAATCGTAAAAAGAGGTATGGGTGTGGGTAGTGGAAGTGTGCATGGGAGTGGGTAGTAGAACGAGGTAGTAACTAGAGGCTCCTTAGAGGTAAACAAATGCACAGGCAGGAACTTTTGACCTTCCCGCAAATACTTGTGCCTAAATGGCAGTACATCAGAATGAAAAGCAGGATTCACCGGAGTGCATAATTCACACACCCTGTCAGCCGCCCCCGCCATTCGTTGGACAGGTGGTCGGCAAGCTGCGTGGTGGGTAGCCACCTGGAAGCTCTCCCAAAGAGCTGCATCTTGCGCTTGATGAGGATAAACTTGTTGCGAAACAGAGCAGTCTTATACTGCGTGATTCTCCAGTGGGCACTAGCAAGCTTCAGGCAAAAATCCTTCCACGGAAAGCCCTTCATTTGAACCCAAACACCGAGATGTTTGTTTGCCCCAGTCAAGTGCAGTGGCTCAGCAATCAACTTAGAAGTGGCTTGCAAACCTTGCCCACCAAGTTCAAGGGTTCTTCTGAGAGCGACGCCACCTTTCCCGCGAAGGCTTAACATCACCTCAGTTTTCCCTTAGAGAGATTGGGTGCCATGCCAGCGATGGCAAGTCTGTCAAATGGTTCCCCTGCAATGGTGCTGGATGAAGATACACAAGTCATCGGCCCAGATTGGATCCATCATGGATGCGTCACATTCAATCGAGGATGCCATCAGCTCCTGCTGTCCGCTCCATGCAACCTGCGTAAGGATGCCATGTCCTCTCATGCTATTCTGCAAATTAGCAAGCAGCTTCGAGAAAATGAAGGCCAAGATGATGTCAGCGTAGCTGTCGCCTGGTTTGGTGCCCCGTCCCGTCATTGTATTTATTCAACCGCCCGCACCAGTGGCTCTCAGAGAGAGGGTAAAAGAAGTATCTATAATCACTCTATTTTTGGAACCTTTGATACACTGTTTAGTTATGTCTTACTTGCATTTTGCAAGCATTGTCAGATCCATGTTTCCACCCTCGAAATTGTACAGTTTCAAGGCGTCGAAAAATGGAGTGATCATCTACAAAAATATACAATGTGTATGATTGAGGCAAGACTTAGAGATGCACTGAGGATGAAGTGGATGAGAAAAGAAATACTTACAATCACCTTATTTTTGGACCCCCTTAAAAATTGTTTCGTTGCAGGCATCGTTGGATATATTTTTCGACCCCCTTGAAGTTGTACATTTTTTTTGGGGCCCAAATGATATCCAACAATGCTTGCAAACGATTGTTATTCACACCGAATCGCAGTCGAAGCCGCCCGCACACAGTAAAGGGAAAACAGACACAGACGCACACGCATACAGACATAGACATCCACCCATGCATACAGACATACATACATGCATACATACATCCAGACATACATGGGAAAAGTGTGTCATTAGCACCCTACCGGCTCAGCAGCAACCTGCGCTTGCGGAGCCGGGAACTAGCCGCAGCCGGGGTAAATGTTAACCCGGGCTCAAGCGTGAAGAAGCGCATCACTATGGCCCTATCTAATCACCAGCCTTTTCACAGAGGGTTTCGTCCCGGTACGTCTGTCCCCGTCTCGGTATGTCTGACTCGATCTGTCTGTCTCGGTCTGTCCGTCTGTTCTGTTTTGGTCTGCCTCGGTCTGTTTGGATGTCTTGGTGTGTGTAGCCCAGTCTGTCAGATTGTCTTGGTGGGGCAAGACGCACGAACGAGCACACCCGCGATGTCAATAATGTAGTGTCCCTGGCTTGCGCATGCATTTGCGGTGTCGATAATGCGCAATCCACCGGCCGGCATCACCGGCATCGCTAATGTTTGGCTCCATTTTTACCAAACTTGACAAACATTACAAAGCACAGCGTTTATTTGAAAATGAGGCCACCCCTAGCTAACGCTTAATTTTCCAGAGCATTTTCCCGGCTTACACGATACTTCCACAACACCTCGGCACCTTCGGTGGGGGGCGGATTTGGGCAGCCTGAAAAGTGTACAATTTCAAGGGGTCGAAAAATAGAGTGAATATATACAATAAACGGTACAATGTGTATGATCGACACAAAACTTAAAGATGAACGCAGCATGAAGTGGATTAATATTACATACAGAAGTGTCTATAATCACTGTAGTCTTGGATTCTCTTACACTTTCTGTAGTTATGTCTCTGTTTTTGGACCCTCTTTACACATTGCTAGCATTGTTGAACCACCAGCTGACGCATAATTATGCCACCGTAATGAATTATACAGGTGCAGCCAGCTGATGCAAATGATGCAATGATGAAACGTATATTAAGACATAGGCTGTCGAGAGGAGTGATGCGAGTGCTACGATGATGGGAAATACAGCCAGACATAGATGATGTGTGAAACAATGTTTTTTTCAATGGTTTCTTCCACTCCCACTCCTCTCCCAGACACATTTTGGCTAGGGTCATCTTAGAGAATGAACCATATCGCATTCATAGCATCAGCCATCAGCCTTTCAACGAACCATAGTCATAGGATTCGGCTCCTGGCAGGCAGAAAGTCTGAAGCTCCTCAATGGAATGGGAGGGGAGATTGAGTGTATGAAACAACTCCTGCATTGCTCTGTGATCATGTAGCGGTGAAATTGCGTGCCTTCTCAGCACTCTATAGAATGCTTGATGAATGTCCACGAAAAGGACCGGAGTGGACATTCCTCTGGACCACGCTCGGCCCAGAAAAAAGATGCACAGCATGAGACGCACACGCTACTCAACAATCCGGCAAACCTCCAATATGGGTAGGCAGCCAAAACTTTGCAAAATGCGTGGTCAACTGCCGTCTCTCGATCGAATGGAGCAGTGTAAGGTTTCGGTCGCAGCAAACCAGTGACCTTAGCCCGCAGTCCCACAGCCGCATGATCACGTTTGGCACTCCAATTTGCAGCTTGATATGTCAACCTCACTCCACCCCAATGGTACAGCGATGTAATCACATCTTGCTGGTTTGGCTCCCGGCATTCTTTGCCAAGTGCAAGTCGGCCTTTGTGCAAGTGGTCGAAGGTGGTCGGCAGAAAAAGTTAAAACTTTGGAAAAATGAAGAAAGCAAGACGCAGGTGACGCAGCCTGATCGCTCCTGTCTTCAAGTCCACGTTCCCAAACCCAAGGCGGGTGGGGTTGGTAGATATGGGCATTTGCGTCCAACCCAACAAGCAGGGAATAGATCCTATCCCGCACGTGGGTTCTGACCAAACGGACACGAACAAGAAGGAGCTCCGCATCAGCATACAACACGATGACATCACTTGGCAGCAGAAGGGGCCAGAGCTCTGTTCAATGGATCATATGACTTTGAAGTTGCTCCCTCAAAAAAGGCACATCTTTCCGTCCCTCAAAGGCAAGAATCTTTTTACCACTAAGAGAACACATTGTATGTGGCAATGCCAATCTCAATAATCTTCTCTCGAACTGGTCTTTCAACAATCCCTTCCGCAACCGCTTTGGCAGAGCACTCTGTACAGAAGGTGTTGAAAAGGAGGTGCCGACTTGCATTGCCCCATTCTCATAGGTAGGGTAAAATCCAGATGCTCAAGGATCATAGATGCACAGATTTCAAAAAAGACATTAGACTGGGCTCCTTCAATTCAAGGGGCCCGTATACGTTCTTGTTTTTTCGATTTCCTTTCTTCGATGATTGGCCAAATGCCGCCAGTGGCGACGGTGCGCTTACACCTGATGCTATGGGCCATGCACTGATGACCATGCCATTGGGATGCGGTCTCAGCTTCCCAAGTGGCAACTCACCTAACTCACCTTTCAACTTGCTTTCCAAACACTCATGCAGGACTTGCCTTTCATGTTTGATATGCAATTAGATTTTCAATCTTGTCCAGTGCAACAACTTTGCCTTGCCCTGCCTGGTCTAGAAATGGTCCCTTGAAGCTAATATCAGACGACTGAGGCCTTAGCGATGGCGAGATACAGATGTTGACCTCAGCGCTTGCTCCAACTCCTGGTGCCAAGATTTCTTTGGACCGAAATCTTGATGAAAAACATCAAATAATCTAAGAACCACATGAATCGTGCCTGAGTCTTCCTGCATCCAGTTGCTAGTAGTGGCCTACTTATTTAGCATTTGCCTTGAAGAAGCGTGAGCTATCCGCGTCCAGTAGCCAGGAGCGAACAAGTTTGTCCCTTACTTAATTAAGTAGATGCCTACTTAACCAAGTAAGGAGGCAGGGCCGAGCGGGCTGAAAAAAAGGAATCAGGCTTTTCTGAGTCCGAGAGTTGTGAGGATGCTTTCAGCTCACACCTCCAAGAGGTAGCGCCGGAGGTTCAACAGTGCGACATGTCTTTATGCATTCTTCTTAAATGTGCTTAAAGCACCCATTGCGTTCTGTGTCAAAAGGAGTGGGTGCTTGTAGGTACGAGACCTGGGCTCGACAGGCGAGACAAAAGTAGCTTTTGCGGGTGCTTGTGGATTTCCTGATTCACTCTGGTTGTGAGGTTCTAGCGCCACCTGGGAGGCGGTTGCATGATGTGCTGCGGGCAAAGGACAGGGTGGCTGAAAGATAGATGCTCAAACCGAATGATGGACATGACACATGAGCCATGTCATGCATGTCACACCAGGCATGACCTGCCAAGGGTTCCAGCTGTTGTGCTTTCATTCGCTGGTTTGGTGAAGGATATAGAGCGCAGCGGCACCCTTGCTCCACATATTTTCCAGGAAAGCTTGCAGGACGGAAGTCAGTGAGCCTTTAGGGCCTTCAGGGCTTTTTTTGAATTGTGATTTTGGGAATTGTTATTGAAAAGGCATGTTTTAAGCGCCCGCTCGCCCCCTCCCTACTTAATTAACTAGGCACCTACTTAATTAAGTAAGGGAGAGGTAGCTAGTACCTTACTTAAGCTACTAGTATGGACGCAGGATAGCGCTCGCACTATTCATTTGGTTCCAAGATTTTTAGGAAAACTTAAGGTATAAAGAAGAATCGACTCCGAAATATTTGGCGAAGGAGCTCGTGCCTGTGCTCACTCCTCCACAGCCACGCCCCAAGCCTTCACTGTGCTTCACTACTGGGCCTACTGCCGCACTCATTTAGAAAAGTGAAGTTTCTGTGCTCCACTCCTTGCTTTGCCAAGTTTGGAGTTGCTTTGCTTGCTAGCGGACAAGAACGGTGCAGCTGACAGATTGAATCCCTTCGCAGTTTCAAGCTTGGTGATATCACTCTGCCAGGCTTGGGGGATGTAGATTACGGTGCGCCCACCTGTTTTGTCGCAGCTTTCAGAAGGTCTCACGCCTCATGGATTTCTTGTCAAGGAGAGTTCCTCTCCAACTACGGGCCACCAGTAGCTCCCCCATCGTTCTGAGCTTGGATTTCATGCGATTTCATCCTCTTCACTGAATGCAGAGTGCGAGATTGCAACACATGTAAATATGCACGTCGTCCATTCTAGTGACACCTGGACCTGGCAAAGTTCTTGTCAGCTCATTCCGATTTCTGTCTGGCCCACACCTTTGGCAGGTAGCACTTTTCTTCCATTCTGGTTCATTTACTTTCCTGGGTTTGTAGAGGTCTGGAGTGCGTTGCCTCTTCATTTTTCTAGGTCTGCTCCACCCGGACCACCTCGGCCACCTGCGTGTCTAGCTGAATTTTTGCAAACGTCGAAAGAATGCTCGGCTAATTGAAACGCTTGAGCTTCGCTCTTGAGCTTCGCTCTTGAGCTTCGCTCTTGAGCT